TGATCCTGCAAATCAGGCTGTGGCAGTAATTTATCGGTCTCTTTGCCGTATCTCAATTTCACACGTAATTCGAATTTCGATTTTAACTCGTAACATTATTTCGACACGCCGGGGCTGACAGATTTAATATTAATTCTTTAATTTCATTTTCGATTTTGATTCGTTAATTTTATTTCAATTTCTAGAGATACCGTTGAAATCTCTCTTCAGGATAATTTTTTTTTTTTTTTAATTATAGACAGTCATCTCGTTCGTTTCCCGACTTGGACTTGCAATGAATTAGATTTAGAGGTTTCACGCGCGAAACCGTGAACGCGTTTCTTGAGACTGGTTTTCACAAGAGAGAGAGAGGGGGGGGGGAGAGAGAGAGAGAGAGACACGTGGGAAACAATAGCGGATGCTCTAATCTGGAGAGCACTGAATCGGCCCTTCTTCTTTTTCTTCTTCTTCTTCTTCGTTATTGTCTCTTTCTGGTGAACCCTTTGCCCTCGTGCCTTGCCGCGCCTTTTCTTCGCTCCCCACCGGCATTTTTCACGACCCTAAGAGAGAGTTTCGTACCACGAAGGGCTACCGGTAGAACAGTAACTGTAAAGGTAGTCCCTCTTGCCGACATTATCTGCATGCCTCGGTAAGCCCGCAAAGAAGCGACAGAAGATAGAGATAGAGAGAGAGAGAGAGGGAGAGAGAGAGAGAGAGAGAGAGAGATGGAAAAAAGGGTGAGAGAACGAGAATTTTTTTCTATTTTTCTTAACGAGAATGGCGGTTATGTGACGGTTTATACTATTGTTTGAGAAAGGACACCTTGAGCTATGGAATACATATAGACTGTCTCACAGTTCGCGAGTTTAACCCTTTCGGCTCTGACATCCATTAAAATAATAAGATCAATTTTACTGTCATTTATCGTTCTTTCAATCGTTATTATGAAAATTATGTCTTATACCAATGGAGACATATTTTGTATGATTGCTTTTCATTTATGCGACAAAAATTAGGGAGTGAGAGAATTCATTTCGATAATTCTATGACGAACTTGAAGTCGTGACACTAATAATTTAGAATTACAGATTCGTTGACAAAAGATTTTTCGTCCGCTCTACAATTAGTATATTCGTGGAAAATAATGCTTCTTGTTTAATTAACTGCGTTTCAGACTGGTTTAAGTACATACATCGTGATTGTTAATCCACCATTGCTCGAATTTAAGTCATAATATATCTAGATGTGACGTACGTCTGCTTGAAACGCAGTTAATTTCAAGCGAAAAGGCATTAATGACCTCGAGTGTATATAAATTGTAATAAAGCAAGTAGATTACATAAAATTTTTTTTATCTAAATCCAACAGATTTTAATAGAATTTGAATCAAAAATTTCATCATGAAATGGATAATTTTCAAAATTAGAATTCGAGCAAGAAATAATTTCTTCGTGCTAAACACAAATCAATACTAAATTCAAGATTCATCAGAAATTAAAGTCGCTGGATGTATAGCAACTAAGAAATCTATTATGTTAGATTCGCTCAAAGAATCTGTATAATTTCCGAAGATTAAAGTATAATAATATTCAAAAATCCAAGTAGAATATTCGACAATAAATATTTGAGAAAAACCTGTATCGAATGTTGTACAAAAAAAAGTCAAAACGCAAAGATCACTCTATCGTTGGAGATCTCACTGGAGTGACGCTAAAATCGCGAATCCCGCGCGGCGGTTCCCGTTGGATGGAAGAGGATGGTTCACAAGAGGGGGTGGACGAGGAAAGGGCGAAGAGATAAAGAGAAACAGAGAGAGAGAGAGAGAGAGAGAGAGAAAGAGAGAGAAGGATGACAACGGCAACGAGGACGATGACGACGGCGACGGCGACGGCGACGGCGTGGCGAACATGGCGGCTCCGGAAAGCGAAGCCGTGCCGAGCGAGGCCAAGGATGTTGAATTCGAAAAGTGTTATTCCGCGCGTCTATCTCTGAATGATATGGAAGGGAACGCCTCTCCCACGTGGGTGCCACGTGTGCGCTTCCGCTCTCCGCGCGCGCGAATCCTTCGCGCGCGTATCACCCGCGTAACGTTATCTCCCTGCGTTATCGTCTCCGTGAGGATCCTCGGCGTCATTTATTCCCGGGGTTCACTTAAATCGACGGAAGAAGAGGGGACCCGTCATTCCCCGCTCTCGAGAAATGGATCCGAAAGCGGACGTGTTTGACACTTTTGAGCCACCGATATGTGCTTTCTCTGTTTTTTTGTCATCTTCTTATAAGAACATTCGTTCGGTTACTTGTCACGTTAATGCCTAATCTAATAGCCGTGTTCAGCAGAATGTTCTTTTTGCAACTGTTGGAAGTTTTCTTCTCGCTGATTAGATTATACTTTTAGAATACTTTTAGATCCAGAGGAATAATCCTATCTCAGCGAAGAAAACACCTCCAACAGTTGCGAAATAAATCCAGTAGCTTCTGATGTTTAACTATCTATGTTACAGGAAGGTTCCGTTTCACGCAGATCACGAGTGTAGAGTCGCTAAATTTGAATGGCCGGTGAATATTTTATTTATTGTAGGGACTAAAAGAAGAGACAAGATAAGAACTGCTAGAACATAGCATAACAAATGTTAAGTAATTCCGAGCAGTCAATTTCCGGATACGTGAAATTGATTTCCGTTATGTTAATAAAAAATGAAAATCCCCTGTACTCGCGAATTTCCTATCGGAGAGCAAAATGTTCATTACTTAAATTAGCAAATGTTTTTGCAATCCGATTGTAAACGTTCTGTTTCTGTTACACACAGAAAAATATATATGTATGTACTGTACGGAAATAATAATTACATGTTTCAAACATTTCAAAAGTTCATATATCTGTAAATCTATCATACATTTATCACAAGCATCAAATTTATTGAAAATGTATTCTGAATTCTGATTTAATAAATCAATCAAGAGTATTAAGTTCAAACAAATTCGACTTGCTTATTATATAAAATCGCTTCTTCGATCAATTTTATAATATTTTTCCAAAAAAAAAAGAAAATAAATTCTTGTTTTGAATAAATAATAATGAGTTCTCCTAAAATTTCTAATATTAGAGTATATTTTATATGAAATATTATTATCAAAAAAATATTCTTACAGACAGCCGTTAGTTAAAAGAAAGAAAGTAGATTGAATAATCATTTTTTACAGAATGACATTTTTCTGTGTGTACGATCTGTTCACTGAATAAATTTTCGATGAATACGATTTCGGATTCATTGTACGTTAAGTAACTCGAGAAGAAACGCTTTTTTTTCCAAGCTCACTTTAGAAGGGAGCATGTCGGATAGGGTATATAGTTTATTTTGAATCGAAGGGTGTCGCCAAGGAGACTTGTAACGCGGTCTATCAAGCAGGTGTAATTTACAGAATTATTTTTAAGATATATATATATATCTTTAAATCGTGCTTGAATGCATGTGCATCTCGTGAATGTGCCTACAGGTCTAATTATGTTGGATTAGTTTTGAAAATTTCAGGTTTTTGCCAAATATATTTAATTCTTAAATTCTTTAATTTATTCTCATAAAACGACGAACACTAAACGGAGCCAACGGTATTATATGTATATATATATATATATATATATATATATTTCTTTTATATTATTTCATTTTTATGATCTTATTATACACTTTGCTACGTAAAAAAGCTATTACAACTCAAAATTAACAACTTTTCAATGGAGCGTTTTTAAAATTCTTTCTAAATTGAAAGAATGTTTTAGTCAAGATAGTGAACATACATAATTGCACTTTTTTTCCGTTATATCTTCATTTATAATGTATTCTTTGAAATTATGTCGTGAGTTTCAAAATTGGAGCATTGCAATTTCGATATGGAATTGTGTAAATTTCATCTTTTATTGGATTGTGACATTTACGTAGCAAAATATAAGCAATGTTGACAAATGTGTGTCCTTTTTTTTCACAACACTGACATACTAATTTTAAAGATTTCTTTTTACCATTTCTAAAAAGATGTTAATTTTTGTCACTTTTCTGTCAACTTTTCATTCTCAACTTATGGATTTTTGGAAACTGTTTTGAATTCACTGTCATAGAGCGAGATGTGGCAAACAGGCGGTTTACTAAGTCACCAATTATTTCATCTTTATATGTTGTTATTTTATTTATTTACTTAAGAAGAAGTCAACTTTTAAAAACTGTTTTAAATTCACTGTCAAAGAGGGAGATGTGATAAATATTCGTTTTACTAGGAAATCTAAGGGATCGTTCAGAAGACGTTTTTATTATTTCATCTTTATATATTTCACTTTAATCTCATTTAGTTAAGGAAGATAAAAACAAAAATTTGACATTGCGTCCTTTTCATTCGCAACTTAGCAACTTTTGGAAGCTGTTTTAAATTCACTGTCAAAGAGTGAGATGTGGCGAATATTTAGTTTACTAGGAAATCTAAGGGATCGTTTAGAAGACATAGGGATGGTTTTAAACAGCCGCGAAATGCCGGTGAACGACCCGGCGTGGAGCGTCGGTGTTGCTGAGGGATCTCGCAGTCATCGATCATGGATTGATCGATATCAAGGACGTGCAGGACGAGAACACAGGCGAGCAGCGAGACACGTGTGTGTATATGTATGTGTTTGTGTGTGTGTGAAGCGGTGAGACACAAACGTGTGTACGTTTACAGGTGTTCGTATACGTAGTACGTGTGCGAGAGACTCACACGACGATGATGACGATGACGACGATGACGACGACAACGACGATGATGACGACGATGACGACAAACGTCGATCAAAAGCCCGAGTGTTATATATTTTTCTCGTATTTCTTATAGAAATGGACAAGTACTACAAAAAGTACACGATATAGAGAGGTGGGACTTCCGCGATTGAGTGTTTCGATTCGAGTAGTTTGTGGGGGGGTGGAAGTTATGTATACGTGGTGAATGGGTGGAGGGGTGAGTGGGGGGGAGGGTCTCTCTCTGACGCGTGGACGACTAACCTGCTAGCCGCAAGGCCGACATTCTCTGAAACTCAGGCTCCTGCAGCCACTTCCACATCCGCCGGAAGGTCTCGCGACCACTCTTGAGCTTGGACCAGGGCTTTGGATTGCGTAGCAGGTCGCTGAGGGTGCCCTGGCTGCGGCACAGCACCCGCTGTGCGAAGATCGCCTGTGGTATGCTGTACCTCTTGAGTTCGGCGCTAATGCGCTGTGCGAGCTCCTTCGTGTTGATTTCCTCGACCTCGCCGGCGCCGCCGTTGCCCGCCGCTGACACCGTCTTCATCACCACCGACGTATGTTGCACGTGCTGCGTGTGCGATATCGTCTGCTGCTGTGGCATCGACTGTTGTTGTTGCTGCTGCTGCTGTTGCTGCTGCTGCTGTTGTTGTTGCTGCTGTTGCTGCTGTTGCTGCTGCTGTTGTTGCTGCTGTTGCTGCTGCTGCTGCAGTTGCGTCTGCATAGTTGGTGGCGGCGATGCCGCGCTTGGCACCGAATGCGTGCCAGGCGGGGAATGATGGGATGGCGCGAAACTCGCCGTAGCCGAGACAGCCGGCGGCGAGGACGGGCTAAGCGCCGCCGGGCTCTGTTGTAATCGCGGCAGAAAAGCCGGGTCGTAATGCGGACTCGCGGACGACTTATGCGGCGAATTGAGGCCGCTCTGGCTATACGCGCTCTGAGGTGAGAGCGGACTCGGTTGCAGTCCCGCGCCCGGCGACGGATAATTGTGCGGCGGTGACATGCTCATCGTAGGTAGCT